TTAAATTTTAAAAGCAGTAAAATAAAAACAATATGAAGAAAAAAAGTAATTAAAAAATAATAATAATAAAATAAAATAAAAACTTAAAGGATCAAATTGAAACAAACTGAAACTAATGGATTAAATTGGTATTAACAACAACTGAAAAGGACTGAATACTAATTACAAAATAAATCAGAGCACAAATCAAAATTACTAAACAATACATGCACTAAAGAGGTAAATGACCCCAAATACCACAAAACCATGGCCCTAACTCTAAGGTGGTGTTTGTTTTTGTAGAGGTAAAAGGTTTGCAGTCTGCGGACCACATCTGCAGACATCTACAGTAGAAGAGGTAGACCAAAAGTGTGCAGTCTGCAAGAAGAAGACTGTTTGTTTTTTAACGTCTGCATACTACTAAAATAAACTGAAATATAAATAAACTAATTTTTTAAACTTAAAAGAGTTTTACAATACTGAGATTTAAATAATTTTAGTTTTACAATACTGAAATTTAAATAATCCATATAACTACAATAATAATTTTTTTAGAAAAACAAACATCACCTTATTAATTCTATTATAAGTCTCACATAATCACATGCATTATTAGTTTTATAAGTTTTATAGAATAAAATTTATAAATGATCATTAAATTATATGATTTTTTTAAACATTAAATTATCTAAAGTTATATAATAATATTAAATTTTGAATTTTATTATCATATGGCACAACAACATTAATTATCATTAAACTATTATTAATCAATGAATCATACACCTCTCTTTTTTTAAACATTAATTATCATTAAACTATTATTAAATATGCAATTATGTAATACTTTTAATTTGTTTAAATATATATATTCATAATTTATTTTTATAATTATATGATATTTTTAGAAAATATTTAAACTTAAATCCAAAAATATATTATATTTAAACTTAAATCAAAATAATTAAAATAAATATATAAATAATATTAAGATAATATTAAAATTAATATCTATAATATAATATTAAGAAATTAATATTTAATTTATTTAAAAATTAATATTAAAATTAATATCTATAATATAATATTAAAAATTAATATTTAATTTATTTAAAAAATTAATATTAAAATTAATATCTATAATATAATATTAAAAATTAATACTTAATTTATTTAAAAAATTAATATTAAAATTAATATCTAAAATCTAAAATTAAATATAAAACCTCTTTGAAGAGGTTAGAAGACGTCTGTAGACATAAGGTCACGTTTGTGCCACGCAGACCACGCGCAGATGTTAGAAGAGTTTCTGTTTTCTAAAAAAACAAACGGTCTGCGAAGCCCAATATCTGTGCGTGGTCTGCACAGCGCAGACATAAGAGCTTTGAAGACATTGCACAGTGAAAACAAACACCACCTAAATCTACACCAAAACCACGGGCTCAAAAATTCATTTAAAAATATTTTATTAAAAAAGTAAAAACTAAATTAAACTCACTTGGCCATCCATTCTTCTCCCTCACGCTCAACTTTCTCTTCTCACTTCTCTCTTATTTTTCATTTTTTTTCTTCAGAAAACCAAACAAATTCCAAAAGGCTCCACTCTAAGTATGGATTAATAGGGTAAACGGGGTTACCTTCGATGGTGGAAGGAGTTCCCTCTTCTCCGATGAAGCAACCGAAGCGTTCCGAGAAAAAAGTAAGTTCTTTTCTCTCCTTTTTCCTAGAACTCTTTGTTGTGTAAAATGGTTTCTGATTTATCTGGTTTTGATGGATGGTAGAAAAGCTTCTTCCCTTTTGATCAGAAGCCCCTTGAAATCTCTCTGGTTTTCCTCTTTGTGTTTTTTCTTTATGCTCGAATCTATTGTCCCTTTGAATGTGAGTTTACATCTTATTTATAGTGCTCATGAACCCTATTTTTGGGAGTTTATCTCTGAGTGAAACTCTCGGTTGGTTGTTTGTTTGTTGGATTCGTGATGTGGGTGCCGAGAGAACTGGCGACGGTTGTGTGAGGCGTGAGTAAGGTGCATAAAAAAATTAGTGTCTACAATCACAAAAAAGAAAAAAAAATCACAGAAGCAGATAAAAAATGAAGAATATCAGCATTACCTTGATCGTGACATAGCAACTGAGTTATGACGCGAAGCACGTTTCCGAGCGGAGTTATTGACAGAATGGAGGAGGAGGCAACCTAGGTTGTAAGCGCGATCGATGAGAAAAGATTGATCGGCGTCGGAAGGGGAGGTATGCGGATAACAACTATTACTTTCTTTGCTTTCATTGGCTTTGTGGTTTGGTTGATTGAACGTCTCATCAACAACGAGTCCCAAGGCTCACCATTATTGATAAATATCATACCTTAAACTACCTTGCCAAGTACCCTACAAATTATAGCATAAATAAATCCAAGGTTACCTCAGGCGGTTTTGGCTTTGTAAGACTCCTTTGCAAACAGTCATGATTTCGATCCTTCTTTGATTAGGTACAATAGGAGTTGATTTGTTTGTATGTTAATGATCGTAGGTATTCTCAAAAGGTTCCTCACTTGTCTAAGACATACCAGGTGCAATTATAAGACTAAGAGAGGAAGAAAAGTTGCAAATGAGGAAAATAAATGATTTTACAACATTGACTCAGTCTTTACAAATCAGAAGTCGGGAAGCAATTCCAACAGGCTAAACCTTCATAGCTTTGGGGGTTTGTTTTTGTTATTGGGTTGTCTACAAGTTGTTTTCGATAATCAATGAATAACTGATGAATGTTTATTCTACTTTTATTTTCACTGATTTTACGTGGAATAATAAATCAAGATGAGTTGCAAAACATAAGAGTAATTTATTATTTTTGATAGGCTATTAATGTTAAACGTACATCCCATCAACATTTTGTTACTCTCAGTAACGTCGATTAATGATGAGTGATCGATTTGTTATAAATCGATAATGTTAATGACTGATTTGTTATAAATCGATAACATTAGTAACTAATTTATTATTTTAAAACTTCAGTTGAAAAAATGAAAACTTATTCAAACATTAGTTATCATATGTGTAGTTTATCCTTATTTTATTTTTATTGTACGAAAGATCATATTGAATGACACGTGTCATTTACTTGAAAGATGTTTGGGTTTTCACGGGTGTTCAATTAGACATTCGGTTAACTAACCGAATCTAATTTATTAATCGAATTTTTTTCGTTTTAACTGTTAATCGAATCAAATTTTTTTAAAATAATTTACCAAACAAAAAAATTAAAAAAAATCGGTGAATAGGTCGGTTAACTGAATTAACTTAAATTTTAAATAATATATATTATATATTAAATATTTAATCTTTTTGGCTAATTCGATTAATTCGATCAGTTAATTAAGTGAAAACCGAAATTTAAATACTCCTAAAGTTATTAATATATATATTATATATTAAAATTTTAAAAATTTCGATTAATTTAGTTAATTAACCGATTTCGAACCAATAACTAAACTTTGAAAAAAATCATTAACCCTTAACTAATCGAACTTAAAATAAACCGACCGATAAACCGAAATTTTGAACACCCCTAATTTTCACTATTTTCTATGTTTTTTTTTATGTTGTCGATGTATCATTGTGTGTGTTAGGGAGATTTGGTTAAAGTTTAAAAATGGTACTCAATTATTTTAAAATAATATTTTAACATATACTTTTCTAAAAATTATAAAATAGATGTTAAATTTTGTTATAAAATGAGCATAGCATGTAAAAATTTCTTTTTAATAGTCTTGATTGACTATAAAATAGTATTTGTTTACATTATTTCTTAATCACTAATAACGTATACTCATTCTCTAATGCAATTGTTAGATTAATTATGAACCTTTAGAGAGAACAACACTTTTTTTAATCACTGAGGCCACTTGACAAGTTCACGTAACATGTAATAGTCGAGAATTACAAAATTTCAATTAGTCGAGACTTACTGGATTAATTGAGAATTACATACCATATACTTGTACAAAGTATATTATACATAACATATACATGTAACATATATATTATCAAAACTTATACAAAGTATTCTTATTGGATTAATCAATAATTAAAAATTCCAATTAGTCGAGACTTACAATTTTTAGATTAGATGAAACTTATTATATTTTCTAATTATTTTTTGTAAGTCTCAACTAATTTAAAAGATAATTATATAATAAGTCTCGACATAAAATAAAATTAGAATATATAGTAAATTTCGACTAATACAAAATTTGTAAGTCTCGACTAATTTAAATTTTGTAAATCTCAATCAATCCAGTAAAAATACTTTGTATAAGTATTGATGATATAACTATATATTACATGTATATATAATATATAATATATCTTTTTAAAAATATTAAATTTTTTTTTGATAATTTATAAGTTATAGTTTTATAGCTTATGATATATATTCAAAAAATGTAAACTTTTTATAATAGTTTTAGTATTTTTAATAAAATATTTAATTTTTTTAATAATTTAATTTTTATTTTTAGTATTTATATATAAATTTTTGAATTTTTGAATAATTTTATATTTCAAATTTAAAATAATTTTTATTTTTTTAATTAAATAATCTTTTAAACTTAAAAAAATCAATTTAGCCCTCGAAAAAAATAAAATAAAAAATCAATTTTACTCATCTGTCATATCATCAGCCACAATAGACGACCACATCAACAGTGTGGACCACCACATCAATACTGTGAACTGCCGCGTCAATACTGTAACGATCAACGACAGAAAATATTGGTCAAAGGACTACATTGTATTTATTTTCTTAGTTAAAGGACCATATTGAGAGAAAAAATAATGCGATAGTCACATTAATTATTTTTAAAAGTACATGGACTTGGATTCCTTTTTGCCAAATTAAAAGAAGGGGTACTCGCTTTATTATCCTTCAATCTCATCTGCCACCTTATGTTTTTCATCTCTTTTATAGAAAAATATCGAACAACGATAGCTAGTCTGTCATCTCACCGATTACCAAAATAAAATGGATTGAAACACCAACGATTGAGAAGACCAATTTATTCTATCACACCAGCGATTCTCGAGATTAGAGCTTGAACCAACCACACAAATCCGGCAGCTCTGCGTTTCAATAAGCTTCCATTTCCGGCCGGCTGTCCGAGACAGAAAGAGATGACAACGATACGCCGATTTTACTTCAACGATCTTCTTCGTTTCACTTCCGTCAATCTCGATCATTTAACTGAAACCGTAAGCTCTTGAAATTATTTTCCTTCTAATTTCTTAAAACTTAAAACGCTTCGACGAGTAGTGAATTTGGCTCCTTTAATGGTAATCGGGTGATTATTACAGTTTAATATGTCATTCTACATGACGAATTTAGCACGATGGCCCGATTATTTTCAAGTAGCTGAAGTGAAGGCCCCGGCAAACGAATAATGGGTTACAGTGAGCTCTCCGTCCCCTCTTTCCTTTTTCGAATTAGATAGTTGATATATAATTTGATCTCTCATGTTTAGAAAATAATAAATCGGTTTGCGATCATGATGTTCATTGCCCTCCAATTGTAATTTATCACTGTAAGCAATTGGAATTGCAGACTTTCAGAAGCTTGTCATGTTGAAGATTTAATTTGAAGACATATAAGTTGTTTTGATACTGCATCTAAATTTGATAACTTTGAAATTGTTGTAGTTATGGGGAGGTGAGTCTTGGCATGGCCATGTAACAGCAGTTACTGTTGCACCTGAATATCGTAGGCAGCAGCTTGCTAAGAAACTAATGAACCTTCTTGAAGAAATCGGTGATAAAATGTAAGATTGGTGTGCAATTTATGAATTTAATGTTCCCTTGATTGGGATATTTCTCTCTTCTGGGTATTTTTACAATCAATTGGGGTAGCTTTTGCTTGCAGTTTGCATGTACTACGCATTTTTATGGCATTACAAGATGAGGAATTACCAAAGTGCTATCCTTTTCAATAGAATTTCAAGGGAAGAGTACTAGATTTGAAATTAGCAAAGTAATAATTGATCTTTTAGATATAGGTTTGTACTATACTATCCTCGTTGCTTTCTTTGAACTGCTAGAATAGTTGTATGGTTCATTCGAGATTTTTTTTTTGGAAAAGATACTGTATTGCTTCATTCCATCTTTATGTTTTAAAAAGATAACGGTGACAGATAGGCATAAGCATCGATCAAAAACAAGATAACAGAACCCAAACAACCAGAGAACAGTAACAGAGAACCGTAGAACCAACACCGAAACAAAATACTAACTACCTAACCCCGATTTTTGTAGGCTCAAAGCCCAACCATGAAGCTAGAACTTAAGACCTCCAGTTGCCATCAGAATCACCGCCTCCGCTCGAGTACCAGGAACCACCATCTCCGTAACCTCCATTTTTGTGTTCTAGTTGTTATTTATAGTTTATACTCTTTTTCTTCTGTTTCCCTTGTCATCGAAAGTGTCTTAGGTTTTGATGTGTTCCATCCTCATTCTGAAGTCTAAGGCATAGCTTATAATACATAACTCTACATGTGCTGTATCCATAAATATGTGCATAAATCCAAGGAGACTTACCTACGTCACCTTCTTTTTACAGCTTGGGTATGTAATATACAGAAGGGTGCTACGCTATTATTCGGGAGAGGAAGATGGGTTAGGTATCCAGAATTCGATACCCAACCGGAATGTTGCGTTTTTCTTTCTCGTTCTGCATATATACCACCGCCTCTTACCTTTGGTTTTTTCAGAAATGAGGAAAACATTGTCCAGAGATGTCGAAAAGAAGTCATTTATCCCCCTCAGACGGCCGGTTACACCTGATTTATTGGAGTATGATTAAATTTAGATCCGGTTCCTATTGAACTTTCGCACAACTATTTGTTACGTTCATGTTTTTTTTTTATGTTGAAATGCTGTGGGAAATAAGAGAGCCTTAGGTGTTTTTCAAACATGAGATCCATTAACATATTCCTAGTAATGTATCATTCAGTTGTTTCTGTGTTGTAGTTAGCATTATCTTTCTTTGTTATGTATTTATTGTATTTCTAAAAGCATGTTATATATATACTATCCTATCCTTTTACAAATCTTAGTTCAATGATTATATACAAAATTATATTAATAATTAAATTAAAATTCATTTAGCAAACTTAAATTCAGAGTACAACTCAAATTTTAAAATAAATTTATGATTCAAATTTTAAATTTTTATCTTCAAAGAGTTTTCTTGAGAATTATTTTTTTTCACTTATAATCAAGTTTAATCATATTGATGTTATAATTTAAATTACAAATCCTGAATTTTACAATCTAATAAAATTAATCAAAAAATAAATGAGCCATGTATTTTATTTTTTAATAGAAAAGTTAAAATTATTAAATAAGTTAAAAGGTAAAAAATATTAAATTAAATAATTTATGAAAATAAATTTAATTTAATTTTAAAATTTTAATTAATTACAATTAAATATATATATATATATATATATATATATATATATATTATTTAATTATAGACCTAATAAAATTAATCAAAATATAAATGAGTCCTCTAATCTCACCGTTTGATTATAGAAATAAATAAGTCATATCTTTGGTTAAATATTAAATGTATGTGATTTTATCGATATCACCTGATAATTAAATAATTTAATTAATAATCAACGGGATTGGTTTAAATAGGGATAGACATGAGACCCAAATCTTACGGGTTTCAATCCAACCTGATTGGATCTGGTTTTTTTTTAAAAAAATTGGGTTTGGGTCGGGGTCGGGTAAAAAATACCCGACCCAAAAAATATAATTTTACCTTATATATTTAGTGATAATTACAATAATATCCCTGTATATATTATTTTTTCTAATTAAATCTATATTTTTATTGAATAAAAATAATATTTTTTTAATAAATACATTTTTCGGACTGGGTCGAGTTGAGTGGAAGATATAAAATTTTCGGGTTGGATTGGGTTGATTGGTGCCCATACCTAGGTTCAAGTGGTAAGCATCATGTGATTTTATTGATATCATCTAGATAATTAAATAATTTGATTAATAATTAACAGAGTTAGTTTAAGTGGTAAGAAGCTTGATATTGTTTAAGTATGTCTCGAGTTTTAGTCTTTATGTATGTAGAAAATTCTCATTGTGAGACTTATTCACCAAAACTAAGTATGTAACATAAGTCAGTTTGAATTAATTATAACAAAACGAGAGAAAATTAATTTAATTAATAAGATTACTAACTAATAATCAAATTAAATATAGCATATAGTTGAATAAACATTTATGTATTTTACCCACATATCTTTAGAGAAATTTTAGAAATTATATTAATATCAACTGATTCCTTGTCGGAAATTCCGGGAAATTCCAACAATAAGAGTTGATGAACCAAGAAGAATTAGGAAAATTGGTAATTTATTAATTTTTATTTTATAAAATGATGATAAAAATTTCCAAGTTTGACTGAGGCCGTTGGATAAACTGAACTGAGCGGTCCAAAAGCCTCGCCTCTACACAAGGTTCCAGGTGCACCTCACGTGGTACCTTCCATCTACAAATACTCAATTTCTCTATTTTAGTACTTCTAGCAAGTAATAAAAGGGATGAAAACTGCTTAAAACAACAATGTCACTAAGGTTTCCCTTCTTGTTTTCTCAGCCCAATAACCAGCCTGGCAGCGGCAACTTTCACAACAATCACCGGACCACCAGTCGGCAGCGTTTCTCTGCCTCATTGGCCGTGGCCGCAGCCGCATCCATCGGAGCTGTAGCTGCTGCCGGTGTGGCAGCCGTCTCGCAGAACCCCAACCACCCATTGTTCCAAAACGCCACGAATTTGCTCCTCCCGAATAGTTCTTCTCTTCTTCTGGCCTCGATCTCTCTTGCAGATGGTTCAGATCCCGTCGTCGAACCAAAGAGTGGGGTTTCTTTTCCTCCGGTTCTGGGAAATTCCCTTCGACTTCTTGGAGTTGGGTTGAGGAGAAAAAGCATCTTGGGATTGAAGAACATTGACGTCTATGCTTTTGGTAACATTATTCCTTTCATCTTCTTTGAATTTTGCTTTTTTTCCTTATATGATTCTTCATTTACAGTAATGTAAATTGGATACACTCACTTCTGTTTAAGAAATCCCGGAATTATAGATGACAAGCAAAGCTTCAGCTTTCGTTTTGCTTTTAGATTCCAGTCTTGCATGCAATAATCTATGTGTTCTTTTGGATTAATTGATTGGCAGTGGGCTAGAAATACAATGTGGGTTTAAATCGTTGGCTTGAATGCTTGTGCTATATTTATGGTAAAGAACGTAGGGTTAAGCTACAAAATCTAACACTTTTGAGGGTGGAAAATGCAAATACAATGTCTTTATGTAGGTAACCTGGTATTGCTGCAGGTGTTTATGCTAATGGAGATGATGTAAAGAAGTTTTTGAGTGCAAAATACGGGAATTTATCCGCTTCTGAACTCAAAGACAATAAAGATTTGAAGAACGATCTCATGGAGGCTGATATAAGCATGACTGTTAGACTTCAGATTGTCTATGGCAAATTGACCATTCGGTCCATACGAAGTGCTTATGAAGAGTCGGTTGGAAGCAGACTCCAAAAGTTTGGTGGTGGTTCAGATAATAAAGAACTACTTCATAGGTAAACTATCCATTTAACTATCAAAATTCTGATTTTGTTTCATACGCCAAAATTTATAAGTTGAGAGTTTTGTCAAATTGTTGAAGTTGAACACTATGACTGGCTAATTTTCCTCATCATTGCACAAATAATATCTCATTTCTTCAAAATTTCCATTCCCATCTGTTTCAAATCATTTTTCCCTGTCCTATTTCATGTTTTGGTATTGTTGGTTCCATGTCGTGTCTAATTCGATTGCAGGTTTACTTCTCAATTCAAAGATGAGTATAAACTACCAAGGGGGTCTTTGGTAGACCTCTCAAAGGAGCCAGGCTATGTACTTAAGACAATAAGTAAGATGTTCTTTGTAAATTTTATCTTTAAACTAAACATGAGCAGCCGTCTTTTGATTTTTTTGTTGTTCATTTTCGTTCATTCACTGCATTCACTGTTCATCGTTCCCTCAGTTTTCTATGTATCTTCTTTTCTTCATTCTCCTTTTAGTAGTGTACCAAACACATTTGCATGCATGGGCATCAAGGCATGGGAATACGACCTCCAAGATTACATATATATATATATATATATATATATATATGTTCTTCGAAGGTTACTTGCACTGCATGATTAAAAAGTATTACTCATATTTTTTGTTTTGCATTATGTTTTGCTTTCTTTTTTATTATTTCGAAAATTGTGTAGTTGATGGAAAAGAAATAGGAAGTATAGAGAGCAAACTCCTTTGTAGATCAATTTTGGACTTGTACATTGGTGAAGATCCATTTGACAAACGAGCCAAGGAAGATGTTGATCACAATGTCACTTCCATACTAGTACAAAAGTAGATGTATGATGTGGGAGGGTCATTAGAAATAAAATTCTAAACAATTTTTATTATTTCTTATGTATCCGACTTGCACTTTCTTGCTATTTATATTTTGTTTATAACACCTTTTAACATTCTTGAAGAGATACTTCCAAGTTAATTTTTATTCTTGAGAGATTCCATACATTTGGTAGTACTATTGATATCTCTCGCTCCCGAAACAAGGTAATGCGAATCACATCTCACCTCCACAGGGAAGGGATGGGTGGGGGCTGTCGCTTCTTTTGAAAATTTTAAGTTTTTATATATTTTTTTGTATTTTCTATTGAAAATATGTTTTTGTCTCATAAAATTATATAAGTTCTCCCTTTTAAAAATTAAAATTTACCCCTAGTATGAAATTATGTGTTCATTCTTGGACCCCTATACTTTTTTTACACGAGAAAGTGTCATGTACCACATTTATTTTATATACAAGCGGATGCGTTGTATATCTTATTTGATTTGTCTCATCCTATATGATATATCTTTTATCTTATTTGATATTTCTCATCCTATATGATATATCTTTTATCTGTTGAGTGTCTCAACGAAGGTAGATCAATTGTGATAGTGGTTCTTGATTGTTTTATTTCATATCGTGTGCTCCGGGGGATGGGGTGGGAAATTTAAACCAACCATAATAATTGTTTGTGACAGGGGTGTTACGATTTTGGATAAGGGAAAATGTCATGACATCGAAAAGAGAGAGTTTGTTTAAATTATATTTATTTTTAAAAATAAAATTTTAATTAATCGTATAATTAATGGAGTTCAAATTTTAAAAATCTTATACTTTACACAAAACGATACTACTGGACCTAGTATTCGGCCCCAAATGATATATGGATGTGTTGATGACTGCTGAATAATTGAGACATTGTTAGCTGAATTTTTGAATGAGATCAATTGTGGAGTAGTGTTCAAGGTTTAGATTTATAATGCATCCTATCTTCGGAAGAAGTCTGTTTCAAGACCACCTAATGACAAATATAAGTATTATATATTCTCCTATATATTCTCTTATACGTGAATGGTCAAGTAGCTCTTACACATTTCAAGTATATAATGCTTCAAGGACAAAAGGAAGGACCTCTTATTCTCACACCTCTTTTAAACTTTCTTTCAATTGAGAAATTAAAAAGAATCTCTCAGAAAAATTGTGCATTCAAAACAAAGAAAATATGGTACAAATGATCAAGATGACTACTACGAGTATGATACATAATTTTCTGTTTCTGAGAGAGAGAGAGAGAGAATTATTCACACACATGAACAAAAAAAAAACCCCATAGCGTAGTAATTGGGTCAAACTTAGTGTTATTAAAGATTTCTTTTTATTCTCATGAACTCGTTTGGGTCCCCAAAGTGCTCACAACCTTTAATTTTTCTAAAAGGATCCAATTCAAGTTGCCAACAAAATCATAGCAGATCAGATCTATCTGCCTTGGGCTTCCGTAAATGGACAAGATTTCATGGAGTTTGATGGTGGCTGAAACCCCCAGACCCGGTCTGTAAGTTAGACTCAAACCTAAGTGGTCACATATCCCATTCAGAGGTTTTTTTTTTATATAACGTATAGAACATTAAATATAGTATAGAACAAAATATTAATAATACAGATATGTCCAAAAAGATATCAAATACATGTCACCAAACATAACTGAAAAACATATAGAAATATATGTTCGTACAAAATAAGTAGTTGATCTCCCCTGATGCCAAATCTGCTAGCTTACGGTCTGCTGTTATCTGAAAAAGTTAAAAACTATAGAATGAGCTAAAAAGCCAGTGTGCTCCAAACAGTGCATAAAAACATACGAATAAAATATTCCAATAAAATCGGTTATCAAACATATTTTAAAATATGATCATTATTTCCATATAATCACTCAGGTTTCTATCTTTTATGTATTTTCCCGAAACATACACTCACCTGCACACCAGTAAGGACTTACTCTAAGCATGAAGCTGAGGAGCCTGCAGTAATAACGTCTTCATCCAGTCGCTTTCATCACTACAATGTGTAGGTTCCTCAGAACCATACACCCACCTGCACACCAGTAAAGACTTACCCTAAGCACACAGCAAAGGAGTCTGCAGTAATAACTTACCCAAAGCACCAGTAAAGACTCACTACAATGTGTAGGTTTCCCAGAACCATACACCCACCTGCACACCAGTAAGGACTTACCCTGAGCACACAACAAAGGAGCCTGAAATGCTTTCCTTAATAATATCCCAGTAACAGAAATAAACATGTATGTATTTAGGTGAAATAAATATTAATTCATTAAAACATGAAAATGGTTCATGTTCATAAATCATATGCAGAAATTACATAAACTATACATCAGATCAGTAATATCCGGTAAATCAGGTGTCGGTAACCAGTATTCATAAAACATGTATCATGTTGTAATAATATTCAACATCATCATAAATTTGAAACCATTTATATGATAGTTTAAAATAGTAAGATAACACCGTCAGTAAACACACCTGTAACAGTCTGAGAAATCAGATAGGGAAGCCTATTACTGGGTCTGTCGATCACGCTCTGCTGCAGCGCTAGATCGGGTAATTCTTGTAATACGCGGTTCGGACTGAACTGACGAACGAACAACATTGGACCTAACTGATCCTTGCTCAGGTGAAACACGAGTACCTCATAAAATATTTTATTGAATCAATTCCTTAACCAAAACTCTTAAAAATAATCAAAATATTAAGATAATAAGCCTTTTTGGGTTCACATGCTCGATTTGGGAATTTCGGGTCAGAATTTGGCAAAACGGACTTCGGAATCAAATTCAAGACTTTGAAAAACATAAAGTATGACCTTCCGAAATTTCGAATTCTTGGTCAAAATCAAAGTCAACGGGTTTGACTAACAATTTGGAGACTTTCGGGTTTGAATTTGGTGAAATGGACCCCAAAAACGGATTCGAGATGTCAAAAACTATCAGTATAGATATTTTCGGAAAAGATTAACAATCGTTTAATAGCCGGTCAAAGCTCTGGTCAAAGGAGGTCAACAAGCTGTCAAACATTTTACATAAATAACACCCCTTTTTAAAAGAATAACCATAATAGCACCCTTTTCAAATTAATTACCAAAATAGCACCCTTTTTGAATTAATTCCCAAAATAGCATATTTCGAATTAATTCCCATAATATCACATTTTGAAAAAAATTACCAAAATAACACCCATTTCGAATTAATTCCCAGAATAGCACTAAAATCGAATTAATTCCCAGAATATCAACGGTCAACGGTCAACGGTCGGGTCGGGTCAACGGTCGGGTGGGGTTGGGTCAACGGTCGGGTGGGGTCGGGTCAACGGTAGGGTCGGGTCGGACCGGTTCAGACTGGTCAAAACCGGTTCAAAACCGATTAAACCGATTATCCAGTTATGCACTCGCCCTGCGGCGATGCGTGTGGCGCGTGGGACCTCTTCCGGGGCTCTAAAAATTACGGAAAATTTTCTAAAAATTATTTTTGAGCGATTTCGAGATACTTACAAAGATTGTTTCAAATTTTTGAACGGCGGAGAGCTCGATTTCATCAAATCGAAAACTTTAACCGCTTCACCTCCCCACGCGCCGCCGTCGACGGAGACAGAGGATGACACAGGCAGACTCGGAAAGACACAAGGAACACGATGGTGCGGGAGGTGTCATAAACGGAGCAACGATCGACGATGAATTTATGATTTTCTAGGCGATTGAGCTAAACAAACGTCGATGCTTTGACTTGAAATTCACTGCGTTTGGCAGCGTTTCGCTTCAATTAAATTAAGGGGATTGTTCCTGACTCGATAACGAACACGATGGTACTTTCAAAACGGCGATCAGAATTCGGATGGCGTCGAGATCGTCGTCGTCGGAAGTTGAGGTTGGGAGAGGGAATTTGGGAGGAATTGGTTTCTGATTTCCAGAAACCAACTCCCGTAATATACACCAAACTTACCTACTTTTCTTGGGCAAATTCAGGGCTTGGTCCCTGAATTTTTTAACTCTAAAACAAGCTACAAGTTTTAAAATCTTTCAATTTAGTCCCCAAAAATTTATAAATTTTCACAATTAAAACCTCAATTCCCAATTAAATATTATTTTGAAATTTTCGGGTTGTTACAATTCTCCCCCTCTACAAGAAATTTCGTCCTCGAAATTTACCTTATGAAAACAGATGAGAAAATTGAACTTCCATTGACTCCAATGTTTCCCAAGTAGCTTCTGAGGGGCTACGATTACTCCACTGAACTTTGACCATTGGAATATGCCTATTCCGAAGAACTCGCTCATCCCTTTCTAAAACCTGAACAGGTTCCTCCTCATAAGACAAATCAGGTCTCAGCTCTACCTCATCAACCTGAATGATGTGATCTGGATCTGGACGGTATCGCCTCAACATAGATACATGAAAAACATCATGAATACGACTGAGCTGGGAAGGCAACTCAAGCTGATAAGCAACAAGTCCAACTTTCTTTAGAATACGATACGGCCCAATAAATCGCGGACTCATTTTACCCTTATGTCCAAATCTCAATACTTTCTTCCATGGAGATACCTTGAGAAAAACCTGATCTCCAACCTCAAACTCGATATCCTTACGTCGCTTATCTGCGTATGACTTATGCCTATCAAATGCCTCTCTTAAGCGATCACGGATCAGTCTGACAGTATCTTCAGTCTCTCGAACCAAGTATGGACCCAAAGTTTTTCTATCATGCAACTCTGTCCAACATATAGGAGTACGACATCTACGTCCATATAGAGCCTCTTACGGTGCCATGCGAATACTCGCCTGATAACTATTATTGTAAGCAAACTCAGCTAATGGAAGTGAACCTCGTAACATATCCTCCAACACCTGAATAACTCGCTCCGACTTTCCATCAGTCTGTGGATGAAAAGATGTACTGAAATTCAAACGAGTACCCAAAGCCTCGTGCAAAGCCTTCCAGAACCTGGAAGTGAACCTTGGATCTCGATCAGAT